AGTTTTCAGGATCGTCCATTACTTTTATCGATTTTATCGATTTTTTTTGTAAAATTTGACCTGCGGGGCTGGGAGTTTGCACAGGGGGTAATCGAGCATGCAGATTACGAATACAATATTAGTTTTCAAGATCGTCCATTACTTTTATCGATTTTATCGATTTTTTTTGTAAAATTTGACCTGCGGGGCTGGGAGTTTGCACAGGGGTGTAATCGAGCATGCTGATCACTCCCCTTGGGGATGATCAGCATGCTCGATTACCCCCCTGTGCCAACTCCCAGCCCCCTAGCTCAAACTTTGCAAAAAAAATCGATAAAATCGATAAAAGTAATCGATAATCCCGAAAACCAATACTGTATTCGGAATCCCCATGCTCGATTACCCCCCTGTGCGAACTCCCAGCCCCGTAGCTCAAACTTTGCAAAAAAATCGATAAAATCGATAAAAGTAATCGATAATCCTGAAAACCAATATTGTATTCGGAATCCCCATGCTCGATTACCCCCCTGTGCCAACTCCCAGCCCCGTAGGTGAACTCAGCAAAAAAATCGATAAAAATCGATAAAATCGATATCGATCGATGATGAAAAGTAGCCTATGACACCCGCCGGGGCCCGAAGTGTATGTGTGCCAAGTTTGGTCCGGATCGGTTCAGAAATGGAATTTTCTATTCGGAACATACGTACACACATACATACAGACAGACAAACAGACATTCAGCTTTATATATAAGATGTGATACATATCTTGATGGGTCTCTAAGTTTTTTCACATTTTTTTCTTCCCGAAATCAGCATTTATAGTCAGATGTGTGCCGTTGTACAAGTTCAGTGCTAATATAACCCACTTTATTTCTCATTCTGATAATATATAAACTGTGTCACCCACCATCGATCGCGAGGATCCAAGGAATGAGGCTGCGCGCGCGCGTCGCATGCGTGGGAATTTAGTACTCGAGCGCGACTGATCGCACTAAAAGCATGTGCAGTCGTCCCTTCCAGCTGTTTTCCCCTTCGTTTCAAGTTTTCCTTGTGCCTTTCCTGGCCTTTTGTGTGCTTGCGTCAATTATGGCTCATTTTGGATGGTGAGGCGTTGTTCAAGGGAGCATCAAACCGGAAAACTTGTTGAGAGATGCTATCATTCACTCTTAAACTATTAGAAGACTGGAACGTAAAGCTCACTTGTGAAAACAAATCAAAACATTTGCATCTCCTCATTTAGCTTGAATTGGTCAATTCAGATGCCAGCGACAAAAGCTTGAGCACGCAAATCAACTTCTGCAATGCGCTTTCAATTGTCTTAAAAGGAGTTTTCGAATGGTTCCTTACTGATTTTGTAGTGAGATTACTCAGGAATACAGCAATATTGGGAGTGTTGACCATGATCGCAAAGAAACTTCTTAGGTGATGGTTCATGCTGTGCTATTTTGAAGCATTGCAGCATATAAAATACATACGCACATGAATAAAACCTAGTTTAGGAATGTAAAGAAGAGATAGACAAAGAAACATCAAAATAAGCAGAGTCATTTGATCCGTCCAACTCTGAATGCAGGCCAATTTTGCGCTCGAGTACCAAATTCCTACGCATGTGGCGCCCGCGCGGAGACTTATCCCGTGTTTCCTCGCGACCGATGATTGGTGATATGGTCTATACATGTTTCTACTTTACGTGCGGAAATTTAGCTAAGAACACATCGTGAATGAAACCTTTTGATCACAATATAGCGTCAACCTAACTCTTCCTCGCTCGAATGCTTCGAAAATGTTTTAGACTTTTTCTGGTCTACCGCCAAAAACTCGCGCAACCTTGCCGACCATCATCGCAAATCCCGAAGATGTAAAGTCGCACTAACAACTTGAATCTGGATGGACGGTGCATTCAACCTCTTGCTATTTCAGTGGATTTGTGCGAGCTTGATTTTGTTTTCTTCCTGCTTCTACTTGAGTCACCTACCTCTTCTAAAAAGCCACGGAGAGCATTCCACGTTTACGCTTCTCTATAGCTAAAGTAGTCAAATGACCCCGACTCAGCCTCTTAAAGGCAGTGCTCGGCAGTCCTCCAGTTTTTCAACTTTTTCGAAACCTATTCGCTACGAGGAAATCATATCTGGGCTTTTCCGTATGAAAATGGCGAAAATGAGCATTTTCTGAAGCTTTCCAGGTCCGCAATCAGCGCAGAATACGTAAGTGGGCGGAGTCAGGAACAAGGGCGGCAGGGCGAAGACTTCCGCTGTATCTTCCTCAATACGGACCTGGGAAGCTTCGGAAAAACGTTTTTGCCATTTTCGTGCACTGGAAAGCTTAGATATGGATATCCCATGGCGAGGCTTCGGAAAGGTGAAAAACGAGATTCTGCCGAGACACTACCTTCAAGACATTGTCTAGCTATATAGTCATTAGTAAATGCATCATTGAAAATTTCAACTACATATTGTATTAGTTATTTTCGTACCTATTTACTTCGAAGCTGTCTTAGCAACTGATGGGAGACACCACCGTGTTATTAGCACTGAAACCTGGCATGGTGGAAATACGGTGAGAAGTTGCGGACTAGCCGCCTATCTTTTTTCATCGCTCATTTTCAAATGGAAAACAAAGATGAAGACATGATCGGATGCATGAGATGATAAAGCTTTTTAAGAGCTGCAATGCACACATTGCAATTTTTTAGAAAACATGGATTTTAAAGAATTTGGAAATCTTTCGCCAAAAAAGCTGTATCGCACTGTCGCGGGCAACATTTCTTCGAATGCGAAAATCTTCTTTCAGTTTCTTTTTTGAAGCAGGAACACAAATAATCCGAACAAGTAATCATACTACTACATAGAGCTTATCAAGGACTACATCTGATTATGGTTACCTCCCAAAAACGTTAGCTTGAATTTTATTTTGCATTTTTTTAGAAATAAACTTCATTTGCTTCTTTCTAAGCAAACTTTTCGCATGGAAACCAATTCAAAACGTACTAGCAAAGGTATTTTTACGAAGTGGGATGGTTTCTGCCATCCTCTATGCATCGGAGTGTGATGGTGATTTCTTTTCCTGAAATGGCTCTTGGCAGTGCGTGCACATGACCCATCCGCATCTCATCACTGAATCGCGCAGCTTTAAAGGCTGTAGCTCGGCCAGCGGTCAATCTGTGAGCCTAAGTAAGATTATTCGAAAGAGCGAGACTTCTTCGACACAGTCGTATGTAATGAGGTGCGGTCAATCTGCGAGCCTCTAGGTAAGATTATTCGAAAGAGCGAGACTTCTTCGACACAGTCGTATATAATGAGGTGAGTTCAACACGTTTCGGACCGATGCTGCACATGATGCAGCACGCTACTTTGAAGGATCCTTTTGATGTTTACAGGAGGTTTTCTTTTAGTCCAAGGTTATCAAGCTAAAGGCCTAAGCTTCTAATTTTCAAGATTTTCCCAACGATATTCTCTAAGTTTTCAGGCAGAAAGTGAGATGCTAAAACTCAGCAAATGGACATATGCGATTTCGTTACAGATAGTAAGCATCCTGCGTTGCTAGATCAACGAATGTCAATCGCTTCCACGGCTTACCGACCTACAGAAACTGTAAGAAGATGTGGTGGCTGTATTTCGTTGCCTAGATGTGTGATATCTTGTAGTTCCTAGAAAGTTTTCACTTGTCTGCTGTCTCTGCCGTTGTCCACATTGGCCCCATTAGTAAAAGACCAGTGCATCACCTCTGCTTCGCAGAGGCTCGCACTGACTCTACTATCTATGTGCCTTAGGCCTCGGACAGAATTCAAGCGATTCGATCGTCGCGATTCAATCGCTACAGAAAAGTGTTACGAGTTCATCGCTTGCCGATTTTCTTGCATTCCGGTTGTGATAGTTTTCCAACACGATTAATCGTGACTAACTATCACAACCGAAACACAGGAAAATCGGCATGCAATGAGCTCATGACACTTGTCTGTGGCGATTGAGTCGCGACGATAAAATCGAGTGAACTTTGTCCGAGGCCTTACTCATTCTCGTAAAATGGCACTGGAACTTACCGCGCTATGCAGGCTACCACGAATAAAATGTACACAACTACTCATTTAGAAAGCTTTTTCACGTGAGATAGGTGATTTCGCGTGGAAGGAACTTTTCGCAGGAAGACAAACGCAAATTTGAATAGGTTTTTGAATTTGTTATGGCTTGGTAGTCGCTATAAAGGCAATAGTCACCGTGCGCTACATCTCTGTCCAAAAATCTTCTTCAATCCTTGGGTAGAACCTTGGCAAATTGATCATTTACGCAACCAATTCTTTTTGGCGCCATTTTCGTTTATGTAGTAAACTTTTGACCACTTTTCGGGCCAAAGTCCATTACTTGCACATTTGCTTACAAAACGCACCACGACTTTGCAAAAAGTGGTGATACGGACGAATTTTGCGGGACAGAAGCCAATTGGATCCGTTTGGCGCGCAATTTCTGAGGGATCCACTCAACAAATCTACTCGTGTTGTTGCAGGCTCTCATGAAGGTAGCATGCGCTATGCAAAATTTGGGCTTAGAACGCTGACTGGAACACGCTCTACGCATTTTGTAACAGACGGACACACACACACACACACACACACACACACACACACACACACACACACACACACACACACACACACACACACACACACACACACACACACACACACACACACACACACACACACACAACACACAACACACACACACACACACACAACACACACACACACAACACACACACACACACAACACACACACACACACATCTAGCCCGTTATTATAAAAAAGATAAACTCTGGGTTTTGAATTTTTTAGTAAAGATCACATTCCTGATTTCCGCAGGGTAAGTCTACATATGCTTTATCACACCAGGTAAGTGAGAGTGCTAAGTTGTCATTTGTTTACGTCTCTGTCTTGACTAAGTGTCCACGTTAGAAATGCTTATAAAACTTGTGCTTACCTACATTTGAGTAGGTTGATCAGTCTGTTTTTTGAAAAATACATTGCAAACGAATTTATTCCGCCCAGAAAAGCCCAAAATTTGGATATTACTGGTACAACTTATTGTAGATATCTCATTTTTTTAGTGTATTGCAGAGATCAGAAGCACAGCAGCGAATCTCGACACCACCCTTTTTTTCGTAGCCTTCTTTCTAAAAAAATTTCAAGTACGTAGCTGTATCTCTATTTTCTATCGAGCAAACGTAAGACTAGCGGATGAAGTTCTTGGCGTAAAGATAGACAGTGACTGAAGATCACATGTTCGAACAGTGTAATGCTTACCTTGCAGAGCACTCCAGAGTCACAGCCGTACTTTTCGATTGTTCCAATTCCATTATTATACCAACCTATCCTCCTAAATAGCTAACGTCAATCACGGATATTTCATGCAAAAAATTGGTGAATCATACGCGAAACAATATTTCGTTGCCGATGCGCACACCGCTAATGTTGATGGGTGACTTTTTTCCGATCCAAGTCCTGTACCAAGTCCTGTAATCTGTAATTAGATTAGAGGAAGAGGAACATAATACATGGATATCCTGAAGCTATGTCCCCACTGTTTAATCGCTTATATCTCTTTCCAAAGAAGTCTTTTGTTTACCTTTTGGTACCACATTGTAGAGCTGGCTTCAGCTTAGTTTTGCATGTAAAGGGATTCATCGATCGCATTTCATTTACTGTAGGATTACGGAGGGAACTTCGAAGAGCCTAGGGCAATATTTTGTAAAGGAAAAAGTAGAAAACGACCTGAAAACTCTCACACTAGGCTAAGCTGCTGATTCCGTTAGCACGTTTCGGGCCGTTGCTGCACATGGTGCAGCATGCGAATTTATTGGGACTTCTTAAATTTCACACCAAGTTTCATCATACTCCAAGGATATCATGTCAATGGCTTAGGCCTATACTTTCAAGGGTAACTTTATGTTGTCACGCCGCAGCAACTTATTTAGAAAATACAGTCACAAATCAAATAATGGCTTCAATATGGTGCGGTAACGCGAACGATGCGTGCGACGTCGCATACTTTCATTTGCTTCAATTTCCGAAAACAGCGTTTTTGACACCAGTAGATACCGCGGGTGACATAGGTGGATCTAGTTATCATTCGATATTGAGAGCTGTTTCTGTCTCCCAAAAAAAAACGAAGCAATCCTACTCAGGTGACAATCTTGAAAGACTTCAAATTCAATCGGAATTTCAGGTATAGAGCTTATACGATACTAGCTGCGGTCCCCGGTCCCTCCCGGGCCTAGAGTCCAGAATGGCCCAGTATAGGGTGTGCTTCAAGATGTATACTTACCAGTCCTCCACTTTCTTCATTTCATATCTTCTGTTACTCTCCTGCTTCACCTCCATGTCAGTTCCAGCGCTCGTGTAGTATCCGTTGTAAATAGTCTTCTTTCTTGACCGGCTCGCTTCATGACACCGCTCCTCACCGCAAAATGTAAATGATCTCTACCACCCCTTACTAATACTTAAGTTGGAGAAATGAATGGTATAGCCTTCATTTTCCTAGATTTTAGTAAACAAAATCAATAAATCGATAGAAGGACCCAGCGATTGTCGCAAAAAGTAGCCTATCTTCTGCGCCGTGGCTTGTTTATAGGGGAACAAAGTTCAGCCTCTTCGGTTCACATACAAAGGAGTCTATAAGCCACAAACATCCTAACAAACAAAGGTACAGTGTTTGAGTTTTATATATATATATATATATATAGATGTTACTTAAAAATATAATGCTAATTTCACGAAATGAGGGCACTTTGTAGACCATCGAGCAAAAGTGCACAATTTTTCGCCCGCTCGCGAATTCGCGGTCTGACGTGTTAACAAAATATGACAAGTAAGCACTAATAATCGTTTCTTTTTCGATAAGCATGTCTAGAATAAGCTCCACAGTTCTGCACAAAGTTGAGTATTAATTACGTTGATACTCAACGAAAGGGTTTGTAATAGGGGTTTCATCAAGGCGTTGATGAAACCCTATCACAAAACCTTTCAGATTTTTTAAATGAAATTCTGCAAACCGGCAGCTTTTGCACAGTGACGCAGTAGTTCCCTCCGTAATCCTACAGCAATGAAGAGCGATCGATGAGCCCCTCCATGCTGCAAATTTGAGTTCAAGACGGCACTACAGAATGATACCCTGAAGAGAGGCAAAAGACTTCTAAACAAAATTTCGAATAACCTTGTATAATATCAGGTTGGAAAGAAAAGAATGTCACATTTCGGGGTTTCTCGTCTTAAATTGATATTTTTCAAGAACTGGAGCATCTGAAAGCCAAAATCTCAAGGATGAAGTCGTGCTCAGACAATCGCCGGGGGCAGGCGGGCACCGGAAAATACGCGCTGCTGAAATTTGCGATCCCGCTCGCAAATTGCAGGAAAATAGTTAGCAAGTTGCTGAGAGACCGCCTGTTGAATCTTTTTCGCTCTTATTTTTTGCATATATATTGCTGAATCTCTGAGGAATCGGGAATTCAGCAAGCGACGTTCCGAAAAGTCCTGATTGCCTCTCAAAAAATCCGCGAGAAAACAGCCATCTATTTTTCCGGTGCCCACCTGCCCCCGGCGATTGTCTGAGTGGGAGTTGACAGTACAGTAGTTCTTTATTCTTCGCCTTTTATTTTCCTCTCATGATTTCTAACCATTAAGAGCATACCGAGTGAGATAAACGCGTACGTCTGCTACATGCAGTAACAAGTGGAAGCTTGTATGGGCAAAGAATTTTCAACGTTATAAATCTGTTAATGGATTAAATCCAACCTTGTTAGATCACTGCGCACAAAGATGCTTTAAGGTTCTCTTTCAAAGCTTGCCTTGCCCTATCGAGTAGCGCCCGTCGCACACATATATAGTGTTGTTTTGTTGCTCTGACACAAAAAGGCAACATTCTTTTCTTTCCAACCGTATAATCTGTCGACGTTCAAAGGTAGTGTCTCGTCAAAATTGAGGTACTGGGTTACAGGTATTATAAGGATCCTTTTTCAGACCACCGCTGTCAAGTCCGATTTGTTTGGGTATTCAAGCAGAGGAAAGGCAAGATCTGATAAGCTGAAAAGAAATGTATACCATTAGGCGCGTCTTTACGCTGATTCCAAATCTGCTTTCTCTTTCTGTGAACAACTTTCTGAAAGAAGTCAAGATCATTTCGCCCAGTTTTCTAGAAACGGGGTAAAATCAGCGTGTACAAAAACCTGCGGATTATTAGTGATTGTGATCTGACATCCTTGTAGTCAATATCCTCTCCTATAATATAAACCCGATCCCAAAAAAAGAGACGGCGAGGATGGTCCGCCCACATGTATGCTTCAGCGGGTGTTTTTAATAGACGCCAGTTTCCGAACGGGGCCTTATTGTGTAGAGACGCGACGATGCGATCATGAGGTCAAGAGGACGCAGAGGTCTTAGCGCGAACGAGAGGCCACGACACGCAGGGTACGCTCTGCTGCTGCAATGGGTGTGTTGAAAGACGCGAGCGGGTGCCAAGAGTGTTGAAAATGCGAGCTGGACATTGCTGCAAAGTTAGTCATAGAAGCATACCATTTGATTCGCTCACATTCGATCTCAGTATTCACTATGCTTCCACATTTCTGCCCAATTATGAGAAAATCTTCGAAAATCTCGCTTGTGGGATCTTTTGCTTTGGGTGAATCCGACTTTTCTCTCCAGATTGTAAGCGTGAGTGCGAGAGTGACATCGCGAAAGGAAGCTGTACAGCAACGACTGGGGCAAGACAAAGTTTTAGCACGATATGATCCACTTTTCCGCCAAATTTTGAGAAAATATTCGAAAATCTCGCTTTTGGGAGCTTTTGCTCTGGGTGAATCCGATTTTTCTCTCCAGATTGTAAGCGTGAGTGCGAGAGTGACATTGCGAAAGGAAGCTGTACAGCAACGACTGGGGCAAGACAAAATCTTAGCACGATATGATCCACTTTTCCGCCAAATTTTGAGAAAATCTTCGAAAATCTCGCTTTTGGGAGCTTTTGCTCTGGGTGAATCCGATTTTTCTCTCCAGATTGTAAGCGTGAGTGCGAGAGTGACATTGCGAAAGGAAGCTGTACAGCAACGACTGGGGCAAGACAAAATCTTAGCACGATATGATCCACTTTCCTCCCATCGAAAATATCTCTAAAAATGTTACTTTTGAGCGGTTGTGGCAATACATGTACTGATAAATTGAAATTTCATTTGAGAAAATTGTAGGTATGAAAGACGTTTATTTATGGGTGTGCCCTACCCGCTTGCTAGCGACCCGTAGGGTCGCTAGTCTTATATATAAAGCTGAATGTCTGTTTGTATGCATGTATGTATGTATGTATGTATGTATGTCTGTACGTATGTTCCGAATAGTAAATTCCATTTCTGAACCGATCCGGACCAAACTTGGCACACATACACTTCGGGCCCCGGCGGGTGTCAAAGGCTACTTTTCGTCATCGATCGATATCGATTTTATCATTTTTATCGATTTTTTGCTGAGTTCACCTACGGGGCTGGGAGTTGGCACAGGGGGATAATCGAGCATGGGGATTCCGAATGCAATATTAGTTTTCAGGATTATCGACTACTTTTATCGATTTTTTTGTAAAGTTTGACCTGCGGAGCTGGGAGTTTGCACAGGGGGGTAATCGAGCATGGGGATTCCGAATACAATATTAGTTTTCAGGATTATTGATTACTTTTATCAATTTAATCGATTTTTTGTAAAGTTTGACCTGCGGAGCTGGGAGTTTGCACAGGGGGGTAATCGAGCATGGGGATTCCGAATACAATATTAGTTTTCAGGATTATTGATTACTTTTATCAATTTTATCGATTTTTTTGCAAAGTTTGACTTGCGGGGCTGGGAGTTTGCACAGGGGGGGGGGGTAATCGAACATAATGTTTACTAAAACAGCGGGAATAGTTTGGCATGTAGGCGTGGGCACAGGGAAAGTTCGTACAGGAATAGGGATAGTGTTCTTTGACATAGTGTTTTGACAGGGCCGCGCGGAGCCGGGTAAGCAAGCTAGTATGTGATACAAAATTGATCACCCACTTGCAGGCGTTTTTGAACAGGTTGACAATTTCAGACTTCCAAAAGCTTGTGACTTCAAGCTCGATTATTGATAAATCTTGGCATGATGTAGATATTCGTATATGTTTACTTGACCCGATCACCAAGATTATAGCACGCTTTATTCAATCAGGCTAACGTTTCGGTGCCTTCACCTTCGTCGGAGCGTGGAACGTTGTCACATTAGTGGTTTCTCCCGAACACCTCGTTCAAGCCAAGGTTACATTCAACATCAAGCCAGGCTGAAAGCCGTGACGGAAACCGTCGTTCATGCTCACCTCGGCTGTCTTCGAAAAGGGGTCGAGCCACCACTAAACACAGCGTCTGCACAGTCAGTAGTAGTAGAGACTAGTACAAGTGCCTTATATAGATGAATCTAATCTCAGTGTAGATCAAATCCGCAAAGGGACTGATATGCGGTTAGATCA